ATCACCTTCAACCCCCGCAAAGCTGGGCAGCCCCCACCCCACCAGCCCCAGACCGGGCTGCAGAGGACCTGGAGAAGCCCCTCCCCCAGCTACTGCACGGCCCCCTGAACACAGCCCGCACCTGCCTGGGGGTGCACACTGGGTCACATTGCCTCAGAACTCCCGGGGCTCCCGGGTGGCTTTGGATGGTGGCGGCCAGCACGGCGGGGAGCAGGAGGCTGGGGCCGCACAGTGGGCACTCTGCTGGCCATGCGCCCGGGGGAGGCCACACCATGGCCACGCCCCTCCCCCTCACTCCCCAGGGTAGTGCACAGTCACCCCTCCTGTGGGGTGTGTTCAGGGACACACGGCCCCCCAAGCAACCCCCAGGTCTGCTTCCACCCACGGTTGGCCACTGTCCTTTCAGGCTTGGGTCACCATGAAGACATGCCAAGTTCTGCCCGGTCCAACCTGACCTCCCAGCCCTGCCCAGGACCAGCCACCCCAACCCCAGGTCTCTGCTGCTCAGAAGYCCCTGATGCGTACACACAATGTCCATCCCAAAACCCCAGTCGGCGCYGGCCCTCAAGGCCCAGCCCACCTCCCTACCCCTCTCGGAAGTTTCCCCACAGCCAGGGGCAGCTCCTCCTTCACCCTCCCCAGCCAGACACGGAGCTGTGCAGGAGACGAGGCCCAGCCTTCCCTCCCCAGCTGTGAGAGCTTGGGCAGGGTACTTAGCCTCTCTGGGCCTCAAAAAAATAGGGATGATAGTCACCAGCCGGGCCTGATCTGCAGGGTCACTGCGGGCATCTCAAGCAGCTGTCACTTTATTGAGCACCTACAGTGCTGGGTACCCCATACACTCAGGGCTCCCCCATAAAGGATGCCCCTTGTTCCCGTTTCACAGATGGCAACACTGAACTTTGGGATTCTTTTTAGGCCTCAAGGGTGTGGGCAAGCAGTGTTCCAGAGGTACCTTCCAGAATCTTCTGGGGGAAACAGCTCTAGACTGTTGAGTGCCCACCTGAAAGGAAGGCCTTGCGGGATGCTGGGGGTCTGAGGTCCCTGTGCCAGGCCCCAAGCCCCACTCCAGGTCTGCTGCACAGAGGGGCAGGACCCTCCTGAAACGGCAGGTGTCCTCCCGCGGACAGGCACGGAGAGGCCCACTACTGCCCCAGCCACTGGCTGCCACCAAAGGTCCTCCTCTCCCCACTCCCGGGCCTGTGCCGAGACGCCCTCATCTGCTTGAGGGTCCAGGCACCAGGTCCAGGCTCTGAGACACCACAAGCCCAGGGGACGGGCCACAGAGTGGCTTTCTTTAGTTTATTTCTACGCGGGCTGAGAACGGAACCCAGGGCCTCCTCAGGCCAGGCCAGCGCTCCACCACTGGGCTACGACCTCAGCCACCACAGAGTGGTCTTCTAGGCCGGGTGGAGACGTGACCAATCAGGAAGGGACTCATGAACACCTGTGTGCCATCTCCCATGTCCAGGTGGGACCCGGAGAAGGCCACATGTAGAGCCGGCATCACAAGCCAGGACCGGTCCTCAGGTGCCCCATGGCTCAGCCAGCTCTGGCTGAGCAGCATGACTCGGTTTCCTAGCAGGAACGAGAGAGGAGGAGGCTGGGGAGGAGAGGAGGCCGGGGGAGAGGACTCTCCTAGAAGACCTGCTTCCAGAGAACGCTTCGTGTCCCCTCAGCCCACTCCCGGCGGATGCAGAGCAACCCAGAGTCCACCGAGAGAACCGAACTACGGTCCCTTCGAACTACAGAGAGGGCTGGGCCTGGGGCTGGGCCTGGGGCTGGGGCTGGGGCTGGCGGTGAGCACTTGCCCCGCATGTGTGAGGCACTGGGTTGGATTCTCAGCACCGCATAAAAAAAGATGAAATAAAGGTCTATCAGCTAGTGATAATTAAAAAAAAAAAACTGCAGAGAGTGTCCACAGGACCCGGCCAGCCCACTTCCGGAAACACCCCAGAGAATGGAAAGCTGGGGTGTGTGGCTGTTTGCACACTTCGCAGCAGCACTGCTTACAACAGGTGGCGAGACCCAAGTGCCACTGGGGGGGATGAGCCAAAGCCACGCCCACACGGCGCAGGACCCCAGGGCTGCGACCTACTCCAGGGTGAACCTCTCAGAAGTCACACCAAGGGAGGTGCCAAGCACTAGGGACAAACACTGTTTGATCCCACTTATTGGAGCCCCCCAGAGTGGCCTGATTGATAGACAGAAAGTAGAGCGGCCCAGGGACCCGGGGCGGGGAGGCAGAGGTTACCTGCTGGGTGGGAGGTGGGGACCGCTGCATGGCAGTGTGAACATCCCTGACGCCAAGGATCTGTGCCCCGCTAATGGTTAACCTGGTAAAGCCTGGGCTCGACATATTTTATCACCACTAAAAAAGTTGAAAGCGAGTCTGCCTGTCTCCCAGATTCAGTGGTGTCTCAGGCCCTCCCTTGGCCCTGCCGGCCCATGGCTAGCCACCACATCACCCTGTTGGATTTGGTGGCCCACCCCAGGGCCACGCTCGCCCTGGCCACCCCAGGCTCAGACTGCAAGCAGCGCAGCAGCATCCTGGATGTCTGAAAAGTGGCCCCGCGGGGGATCTGCCAGGTCCCTCCTGCAGCAGGCCGGGGCCTCATGGCCAGGGTCTCAGCTCTGCCGCCTCCAGGGCCTTTGTTGATTTTCCCAGTGTGTCCCGTCCTGGTTTCCGCCCTGCCCACAGGAGGGAATGCTTCAGAGAAACTCTGGTGATGAGCGTGGGTTCTTTTGTTGTAAGTCACTGCTAAGGCGGCGAACGAGGGTTTATTTTCCTAACGTGCTTGGCATAGCTCAGCGCCCGCACAGCCCTCAGCGTTTGATTTGGGAGGAACCCGAGACCCTGGTTTGTTCTGAGTCACGGGTGAAGCCACAGCCTCCCCGGCCAGCCCGAGGCAGAGACGGGTCTCGGGAAGTCATTGGCAGCAAGGAGAGGTACTGCTGGTGGCTTGAGGAAACAAAAGATTTTTAAAAACTTTTCAGAATTTCGAGCCTGCTAACTCAGCAGGTTGAAAACCTACCAGATTTTCAGCCCCTTCGTCTCCCTACTAAGCCCAACTGTTCTAGGAGGAACTGTGGCTTCTTTCTTGGCCAGTCCTTCTCTCTGGACCTGGAGAGAGCCCAGAAGCCACAGGAAAACACACTTCCCAGCAGGTAGGAGGCCTCAGGGGGTGCCAGGATGGGCCAGTGTCAGCCACAGCCCACTGTGCTGCCCCGGGGTCTGGAGTCCCAGCACCCGCAGCCCTGGATGCCCACTTTCACAGGGTCCAGGGGTGCATGCTGTGCTCACCAGGAGAAAGGTCCCYCGCCTTTGGATCCCTCGGGTCGTGGGAATCCCTGACAGATGGCAGTGGGAAGAGGCACATGACCAGGGATGAACAGACCTGGACTCACCGCTGCCACCTCACAGTCCCAGGGCAGATCTGGGTGTGGCTCCTGAGGCAGAGGCCAGCTGGTGAGCAACTCCTTGAGCCTGGCCCAGACTGTCCCAACTGACCCCACAGGGACCCAGCATGTCCTCTGCCCCTCAGGACACCCCCAGTGTGCAGGAAGCCCCTCCTCAGGAGGCCTCATAGGCTCCTGGGGAAGGTGGTCAGGCCCCAGGGGGCTGCTGGGGACTCCCACCATGGACCCAGCTGCCCAGCAGCTCAGAGGTCCCCTCCAGGTGCTCACATCCCCAGACGACAGCAGCCACCTGGATTCCCAGGAGAATTCCCCAGGGAGACCTTGGGGGCCCCACCTGGGAAAGGCCCGGCCTCCTGCCCAGACCCTCCCGCCATCCCTCCTCTCCTTCCTTCTCTCCCACCAATGCCCTGGGGCTGTCATGGCCTTCCCCACCTTCCCATCAGGAGTCTAAACCCCAACCCTAGAAGGTAGAGGGAACAGCCAGGCCTGTGCCTGGGGGCGGGCAGACACCCTGTGGGCAGCCAGCGGCCCCTCCTCACCAGGCTGGCAGGGGCAGGGTGCCCTTGGAAGGTGCTCTGTGGAAGGCAGCAGGATGCTGTCCTAAGGACACACGTGCTCCCAGATGGGGTTTCAGACTAGGCTGCCGTCACCTCCACTGTCCCTGTCCCCCTCTTGTGGGAGAACCAGGCTCCTCACCAGCCTGGGCATTCCGGGAACCAAGAGGCTGGTGTAGGAACTGGGATGCCAGAGGTGGGCGGGAAGGTAGGGGACCCCAGCCCGGCTCACCCCGCAGACCCTGTGGGGGACTAGAACAAAGCCAGGTGGCCCAGAGCCCCCAGCAGGCCAGCCCACCCCCAGAGCTAGGGCAGGGCGGGATGGGTGAGCTTGGGCGATCTGTCTTGCCCTCTGCCTTGCCTCCAGGAAACTGTCCTGCTGGGACCTCTGCTGCTTTATCCCCATCTCCTGCTCTCCCCGCCCCCACCCCTTCTTACCAAGGACTGGGACTCTGTGATCCTGTGTGACTTTTTGAAAAAAGCCACTTGGGTGGATTGTTTGTTTTTAAAGCCCCTTCCTGATGGCCTTTAACCTCTGCAGGGGAAGAGAGGCCCGGCTGGCTCTTTAGGGCTGAGCCCTTCCACCCAGGACGCGATGCTGGGCACACTGCAGGGTGGGGGCACACAGGCGTCAACACCCAAGAACCCTCTGCGGCAGTAGTTGGCGGGCATGGGGGACAGTGGAAACCCAGCTGCCCAACCCCGAGGCTCTGCCCCTCCAAGGCCTCGTCTTCCAGCTGTAACAAGGCACCGACTGAATCGCACCCACTTCCCAGGCGGCGCGGGCTGCCTCCAGGGCCGGGCGCCAGGGCAGCCCCTTCCCCGAAGTCGCACACCCACGACTTTAGGCGGCTCCGGCCGAAGGTCCCTTGCCCTAGTCCAGAGTTCCAGTCCTCGGCAGCCCGCCCCGGCTGCGGCGTGTCCCGCGCCCCAGGGTCGCAGCGCCGCCTCCCTCCAGCGCCGCACTCCGCCCGGGCCGGTCCCGCGGTCCCCACGCCCTCGGCGGCCCCGGCCCGCGCCACTCACCGTCCTGCGGCGCCGCCTCGCTGCCGCTGCTGCCCCCGGACGGCTCCCGCGCCGCGCCCTCCCGCGCCTCGGCCCTGGCCGCGGGCCTCGCCGCCAGCCGCCCGGCCGCCACCTCCTCCAGGTCCAGGAGGTGGCTCACCGTGAAGTTCTTGCGCGCCTGGGCGCAGTCGCCGGGCCCCAGCGCGGGCGGCGGCGGCCCCGGGCCCAGCGCCGGCTTGTCCAGCGCGAAGGCGGCGGCGGCCGCGCTGTCCATGCCGCGGGCGGCCCGGGGCGCGGGGCCCCGGCGGAGACGCGCGCGGGTGGAGCGGGGCCCGGTCCGCCCGCTCTGCCGTCCCGCCGCCGCCTCCCCGGCCGCGCTGACGTACGTCGGGGCACGGACCGTCCGCCCTCCCCTCGCCGCCGGCCGCTCGCGCCCAAGTCGCCGGACGGGCTGCGCCGGCCACACGCCCCTCTTGAGGCAGACCTCGCCCCTTCCTCCCTCCCCTCGCCCCACCCGGCCGCCGGGAGGGTCCGTCGCTGAGCCGCTGGAGGCGGGGCCCGGAGCCCCGAGCGCCGCCCCCACCCCACCCCCCACTACGTCTGGGGAGCCGCGAGCTCCCGCGCGGGGTCGCTTCTTGGGGGTCAGAGAGGAGAGACTGGCCCCCCCCTTCCAAGCTCCTCCGCAGGTGCAGGGGGCGACTCTGAGACGGGTGACAGGGAAGATGTCCCCATTCCCAGCTCCACCCTCACTGCCCCCAGTGCTGCCCCGCCCGACGGAAACAATCCGAGGTCCACTTGGACCACCTTGTTCGCTCCGCCCAGCCCCGAGATTCCCTCCCCTAGAAAGCTGGGATGTTGGCTGTGCCCACTGCTCCTGTTTCCCACCGGATGATACCCCAAGGAAAGCCGAGCGAGGAGCAAAGCGGTTCCCTTCAGAATTCCTAGTGTACACACAGGGTATGGGCAGCCAGAGAGCCAGACTGACAGATGGGTGACAGGGAGAGAGGGCTCGACTTGGGTCTCAGCTCTTGTTTTTGTTTTCTAAGGAGAACCCAGAAAAGACCCGCGGAGGGAGCAGAGGGAGACTCTGAGCTCTCTGGCTGACACTGGTCCTACCCCAGGACTGCTGCTCACTGTCCTGTCCCTCAGTCCTTATCCCCAGAAAAAAATAACCCTCCAAGAGCCTTCCGGAATGTCCTCTCTGGGCTCCCCGCAGAAAACAGGCCCCGCACCCACATCCCCAGACCCCCGCAGCCTGGTTCTGTAGCATATGAATCACCCCCAGGATGAGGCTGAGTGGCCAGCCGTGGAGGTGCAGGCCAGGGTAGGCTGTGGGTCTGGAGATGGTGGGGCTCTTGGTCCTTGGAAATCTGCCCCAAGCAGTGCCCAGTGAGAAGGCTGGCAAGGAGGTGGCCACCTGCCTTCTCCCAGGGCACTGGCAGGGGCCAGCCTGCCCCGGGGGTTCCCAGCACTACCCAGTGTGTGTGGCTGGACCACWTTCTGAGAGACTGAGTCCCGTAGAGCCCTGAATAATGTTTGGAGGGGAGGCCTGGCTGGAGCACCCAGAAAGCCCACAGAATGGGGGTCTCATCCCAGGACAGTACAGGGCCCCCAAGTGGGGCTTCCCCAGGGTCAGAACAGTTTTGTGTCAGAGACCAGATTCCCGCCCAGTGTACTAGGCATGGTGTACTGCTGTGTGCCTTTAAATGGGACACCAGCCCTCTCTGAGCCCAGCTCCTGCCCTGCAGATCACATTAGAAACCTATGGGCACAGCTGGGCGCCATGGCACACACCTGTAATCCCAGCAGTTCGGGAGGCTGAGGCAGGAGGATGCGAGTTCAAAGCCAGCCTCAGCAAAAGCAAAGAGCTAAGCAACTCAGGGAGACCCTGTCTCTAAATAAAATACAAATTAGGGCTGGGATGTGGCTCAGTGGTCGAGTGACCCTGGGCTCAATCCCTGGTACCCGAGAAAGCAAAACAAAACAAAGAAAACCTTTGGGCATTGTGGGGATGCTGCTGCAGGTGAAATTCTGGGCTCATGGCCTAGAACATGGGGGAGCAACCCGCATCAGCCAGGGGTGCCGGAAGGGCCTGAGACACCATCTTGGTCCCATTTCCTTGCGTGACAGATGGGAAACTGAGGCAGCAAAGGCAAAGGCTGCTTCTAGAGCAGGAAGAAGSACCTTCCCTGAGTCGGCTCCATCGTGGGTGAAGTCGGGGTGCAAAAAGAGCCAGGCCAATGGTGCTGAGGCTGAGCCGTCACTACCTTGGAGGGCAGAGTGGTACAGGATGGCAGGGGGGGAAAGGCTGCAGCTGTAGTCACAAAGCTCAGCCCTTGAGCAAGAGTTTCAGCCCCTGATTCAGCCTGGAAGTATATCTAAGGCAATGTCATTTAAACAGGGAGGTGAGGACTCAGGGACACAGGGCCTAAGGGATAGGCCTAAAAAATAACTAATTTCTGTAGTGGTTTGGATGCAGCTAAGATGCTCACCCAGAGCCAGGGATGGAGGCCAACAGGAGCCCAGTTTGGTTACTGATCCTGGCACCGCTCTGGGCAGCAGGGATGGGGAAATAGAAGGGGGGCCAAGAGGGATCCTTCTCTGGTTAGCTGCTGCTCCCTGGAGGCTGGGTCCTGGGTCTCATCTTGAAAGAAAATGCTGACTTGCCTTCATCTCAAAAGCTTATGTGTTAAAAAAAAATTGTTGTTACAGAAGTAATATCGCTGAGATGTTAAAAAGTATAAGTAAACTTAGGAAAACAAAAATACTAGTATCTCACTCCCAAAGATTCTTAACACACAGCAGACATTCAAGACATTTTAAAAAGTTGGTGTGCTGCKCGGGTGGTGCACACCTGTAATCCCAGTAGCTCCAGAGGCTGAGACAGGAGGATCAGGAATTCAAAGCCAGCCTCAGCAATGGGGAGGTGCTAAGCAACTCAGTGAGACCCTGTCTCTAAATAAAATACAAAATAGGGCTGGGGATGTGGCTCAGTGGTCGAGTGCCCCTGAGTTCAATCCCCGGTACCAGGAAAAAAAAAAGTTGGTATAATGAAAGAAATTAGAAATAATCATCCTATTTATTCAATATTGAATTGGAGGCCTAGAAAAAGCAATAAGACAAGAAAAAGGAATGACCTAAAATAATTTTTATTTAATCTCTCTCTAATTAGAGAGATGGAGAAACACAGTATATGTCATAAAAGTAGAAGTACATCATACCAACCATTTTGTAACCTGCTTTCTGTATCTTTAAATAATCTTGTTCACCATTATTTTTAGTGAAAGCCTAGGAATACATTATTCCCTATTGTTATGCATCAACAGTTGTTTTCTTAAGAATAAATACCTAGAAATAGACTATGTGGRTGTGACAGACAAGGGATGACCTTCCAAAGATGTTGACATCAGAATCTCTAGACCCTGGAAGTGGGTCAAAGCAGATGAATTAAGGTTGTGATTAGTTGACCCTGAAATAAAGAGGTTATTCTGGATTATCCAGCTGGACCCAATGCCTTTTTTTTTGCACCAGAGATTGAACCCAGGGTGCTTTACCATTGAGCCACATCTCTAGCTCTTTTTATTTTTTATTTAGAGCCAGTTCTCACTGAGTTGTTAGGGCCTCACTAAGTTCCTGAGGCTGGCTTCGAACTCACCATCCTCCTGCCACAGCTTCCTGAGGTTCTGCAATTACAGATGTGCACCACCTCGCCTGGCCCAATGTTATCTTAAAAGCCAACAATCAAGGCAGGCATCCCCTAGGAACTGGGGAAACAGGAAAAAGCATTCTCCTCTGCCTCCTGCAGAAGGCCCTACCCAGAGCCTCCTCTGGCACCCCGATTTCACCCCGGACCTCTCGCGTCCAGAACTGTAAGGTAATAMATGTGCATTGTCGGAAGGCAGAGGCGTGCAGCCCAGCACTCGCCTACCATGCATGAGGCCCGAGGTTTGTGTGACAAGATGTTACAGCAACAAGTAGAAAATCCGCACACCRGGTCAAAGATTCTGCAAGAAAGTTTAAGACTTTGGGCTCTTTTTCCATATTGCCTCCAAAAAGGTTGCACCGGTGTCCATTCCTGGGGGCTTCTGGGGTTCCTCGCTGGCATGAGCTGCTGTGATCMTTCCCCTTGAACTTCACGGGGCATTTCTGTGCTCCAGTCTGCGTGTCCTGGATCAGTGCTGAAGGCGTCTTCGGCATGGAATGGCCACTTGCTTTTCTTATTGGTGAGGTGTCCGTTCACAGGCTAACCTGGGACAGTTCTGTTTCTGTCCTGCACTGAGCTCTATCAGCGTCTTCTGTAGCCCTCGCACCTCCGAGTGATCATCAGTCAGTCACTCAGGGCCCGGGCCCCCGTCACAGACAGACAGATGGAGACAAGGACAAGATGGATTTCCAGGGGCTGGGGATGTGGCTCAAGCGGTAGCGTGCTCGCCTGGCATGCGTGCGGCCCTGGTTCGATCCTCAGCACCACATACAAACAAAGATGTTGTGTCCGCCGAGAACTAAAAAATAAATATTAAAAAAAAATTCTCTCTCTCTCTCTCTCTCCTCTCTCACTCTCTCTTTAAAAAAAAAAAAAAAAAAAGATGGATTCCCGCAGCCCSGGCTCACCTGACCCCACACGAGGGGCTGTCTGGGGCGRGGACGGCACACAAAGGTCCTGGTGAGACCGTGGTCACTGCTGCGCAGTGATCGGGGGGATCATAAGCACCACAGGCAGATGTAACTCAGACGTGACCAGGCGTGACCGTGACAGATCCCAGCATTCTGTAAATATTGTGTCAGGCTGGGATCACAGCGGGCTCCCTGGTCACCCCAGGCCCCSGCCAGCCCTGTGGGAAGCAGAGCAGAGCCCGCCCGATGGGCAGGATCTCTGGCCCTGTCGGCTCTCTGCCTGGATCTTTCCAAGCCYGGGTCTCCCCACGAGGAGGGACCACCGCAGGACTCTACCGTCAGCCCTCCAGATCCACGGGCTCCGAGTCCCTGGATCCTACCTGGGATGGACAATATTTAAAGGAAAAGTGGGCTGGCGGTGCAGAGATGACGGAGTTTGGTGACAGGGCTTTCAGGAAGGCTTGGATTCAACCCCCCGTGCTGGGGAAAAAAAATTGTATCTGCACCAAACAGGGTCAGAGTTTTCTTGTCACTTTTCCCTAAGCAGCTATTTGCCTAGCACTCACACTTACCCATTGTCTCACAGCCTCCCCAACTCTCACACAAGGAAGGGAAACTGAGGCTCAGACAGGTCACGCTTTGGGTTCCCGTAAGTTTTGTCAGGCTCCTAACCATCACATCAAGTTGTTAGGACTAGGAAGTCTCCTCTTGAAGAATTATGCTTTAAAAATAAGATCCAAATAACAGGACACRTTGCATCTCCCTTTTTGCCTTGGCTACCAGGAAACCCAAAGCCAATGTGAGGACATGGTCACAGAAACTCTGTTCAGATGGCA